TGTTGTTGTTGTTGTTGTTGTTGTTGTGTGCCTTCAAGTGGTTTCCAATTTATGGGGTTTTCTTGGCAAGATTTGTTCAGTGGAGGTCTACCATTGGCTTTCCCTCAGGCTGTGAGTGTGTACAATTATGCTACACAACCTTTGGGTTGAATATCAGCATTAAGCAGTTCCATCAAGAAGCAAAATGGGGGACCAAATGCACATACATGTGCACTGCAACTCCAACTTACGGTGACCTTACAGTGGCTTTTTCGTGGCAAGATTTGTTCAGAGGAGGTTTGTCATTGCCTTCCCATGAGGCTGAGAGTGTGTGACTTCCCCCAAAGTCAACCAGTGGGTTTCATGGCTGAGCTGGGAATCGAACCTTGGTCTCCAGAGTTGTAGTCTGACAGAGAAAACACTACACTATGCTGGCTCTCTGTGGATTCAGTGACCCTCCTTTAATCACAGCTAATAGGATTTAGGCTGATGTGAAATGGTGGCACATTGAGTTCCACAACTGAACTGAAAATGCCCATCACACAACTGCCCAAAAAGTGTCGCGTGAATTGCATAAGTGTATGACACCAACAGGAATCTGGCCTTTATCTTTCTGGGCCAAACGCAGAAGGACTATGTGAGAAATGATGTTTTGAGCCCTCGGCAGAGGCCAAAGGTTGTGTCCTTTTGGAGACAGGGCTGGGTGGCCCAGCCGGAGCTCCCCTCTGACCTGGCCTTAAAGGGGTCCCCCCTCCGCTTGCTTTTCCAGAGCCCCTTCCCCATCATTGAGTTCTCCCAGGGCTGGGCATGTTTTCCTGCCTTCCCCTCCCACTCTTTCTCTTTTTCCAAAGAGTAATTCTCCTTTATTGATCCACACCTTGGCTGAATTAACTCACGTTTAAATAATAATTATGTTTTCTTCCCAGAGAGGAGACAAGGAGGGAGATAAACACCCTTGGAAATGAATGAGCTTGTTCGGGCTGCATGCCGAAGGTTCATATATCGATGGGTGTCCAAGCTCCTGCCATCCCGTAGCTTAGTAACCAGCAATAAGCAATTAGGGTCTGCCATTACTCAACCGGAGGGAGGCAGGGAGGCTTGGCTTTCCCTCCTGTGCCCTCCCTCTCCTTCTCCCGGGGGTCTGTCTCCGGGATGAATTGTAGGCAATTGGTTCTTAACTTCTTGCCACAGCATCCCAGAGGGAGACAAAGTCCTCCGGCCGTAGAGGCCATGGTTGCATTGCAAGCAGAATGGCATCCCTAGCAAAGAGGGCGAGACTCAAGATGCAAGGCGAGCCCTTCATGGACTTCGCTGTCAGTAGAGATGGAAGGAATATTTGGAAAAAAATATATAATGCTGTGGGCCCTCCACATTCATAGAATCATAGAGTTGGGAGAGACCCCAAGGGCCATCCAGTCCAATCCCCTGCCATGCAGGAACTCACAATAAAAGCATCCCCATTGACAGATGGCCATCCAGCCTCTCTTTAAAGATCTCCAAAGAAGGAGTCTCCACCAAAATCTCTGAGGGAGAGTGTTCCACTATCAAACAGCCCTTACTGTCAGAAAGTTCCTCCTAATGTTGAGGTGGAATCTCTTTTCCTGGAGCTTGCATCCATTGTTCCAAGTCCGATTCTCTGGAGCAGCAGAAAACAATTCAGTGCCCTCCTCAATATGGCATCCCTTCAAATACTTAAAGAGAGCTATCATATCCCCTCTTAACCATCTCTTCTCCAGGCTAAACATACGCAGTTCCCTAAGTCGTTCCTCATAGGGATTCATGATTTGAGAGCATTTCATAGCATCATAGAACCATAGACTGCTAGAGAGCCATCTAATCCAACTCCCTTCTGCCATGCAGGAAGACCACATCCAAGCCCTCCCTGTGATAGATGGCCACCCAGCCTCTGCTTAAGAACCTCCAAAGAAGAAAACTCGACCATCCTCCGAGGCAGCATATTCCACTGTCAAAAAGCTCTTGCTGTCAGAAAGGTCTTCCTAATGTTGAGGTGGAATCTCTTTCCCTGTAGCTCCAATCCATTGCTCTGTGTCCTGGTCTCTGAAGCAGCAGAAAACAAGCTTGCTCTATCCTCAAGATGCAAGATAAATCCTTTCAAACTGAGGATGGAGCAAGCTTGTTTTCTTCTGCTCCAGGGTTAGGGGTGCAGGACACCCATGAAAGTGGGAAAAACGCAATTAAAACCTTTTTTTAAAAAATTGAGGGAACACCTCTCTAGGAATCTCTAGGTCCTCCAATGCAACACTGTGGTCAACATCCGCCAAACTTTGACCATAGAACCATGCTGGAGGACCTACACAGGCCTAGAGAAATGTTTTTTCTAGGGATATCTAGGTCCTCCATCACAACTCTATGGTCAACTTCTGGCACAGTCGCCGTGGATGACCTAGAGATTCCTACAGAGAACATATTACTCAAATTGGTGAATAAATCAAATCTGCAAAAGTCAAAGCTGCGAATGTGGAGGGCTGATTGTAGTAGATAAATGAATGTAGTGGAGCCTCCTTCTGTGACAACTGTTTTTAAACAAGGCTGGCTGGCTATCTATCTGTAGGGTTCTGATGGTATCTTCTGTATGGCAAAATGGGGTTGGATTGGATGACCCTTGGGGTCTCTTCCAACTCTATTATGTTATGATTCTATGAATGGCAGGTAACTAGGTGTGGATAAATCCTGGACCGATGAGAATCTTTCTGGTATGGGACTTACTCTGCACAAAATTCACACTTTTTTTGGTTTGGTTCATGAAATGACAATTTCTGTGCAGGAAGCAGCATTTTCTTTACAGGCAATTATCGTTCTATGCATCTCAATACTGCTTTCTATGTAGAAAATGCTGTTTTCTGCGCAAAAACCTGACATGCAAATTTTGCACAGGGTAAGGCCTAAATCGTGAATGCTTTCAGAAAACTGCGCAGTTCTGAAGACTTTCTTGCAACAGATAAAAAGTGCTTCTATTTGTCATTGCTTCCTTTGAGAATGAAATTAGCAAAGAACTCCTGTTCATCCCTATTCATTAACCAGCTACATCTACCTAACTGCTGGCATAATTTCTTTTAAACTGAAGACTCTAGAATGAAATAGTTTTAGGCTTCTAGGCTTCTATGCCAAGTTGGTGGAATGGGTGAAGGTTTGTGTAAAAGAAGGTCATAAGAATATAAGCTTAGCCCTCTGAATCAGGCTGAGTATTTATTTATTTATTGAATTTATCCCCTGCAGTTCTCCTGAGATGTGACCTAAAGCTCCATAATCAATCAAATGTTTGCTCCTGGGAAACTCACAAGTAGGGCATAAATGCAGCTGAACCCACTGTTTTGTATTAATTATTTTATTTCATTTTCCCCCTGTCTTCCTCCCAATGTGGGTAAAACCATAAGAAATGTTTGTTGTGTGCCTTCAAGTCATTTCTGACTTACAGCAACCCTAAGGTGAACTTATCATGGGTTTCTTGGCAATGCAGCTCCAACTTACGGCAGCCCTAAGGCAAACCTATCATGGGGTTTTCTTGGCAAGATTTGTTCAGAGGAGGTTTGCCATTGCATTCCCTTGAGGCTGAGAGAGTGTGACTTGCCCAAGGTCACCCAGTGGGTTTTATGGCCAAGCAGAGAATCAAACCTGGTCTCCAGAATGTAGAGAGATCTTGTAGCGCCTTTGAGATTAACCCCCCTGCCAAAAAAAAGTTGGCAGAATGAGCTTTCATAAACTTAAGTCTACTTCCTCAGATGCATTTGGTGGAATGGAAGCTAGGGACAAACCTATATATGCCCAGAGTCATAGTCCAACACACAGACCACTCTGCCACTCTGGCCGTAAGCCTGATAATAAAAACGTTAAAACACAACAGAACAAGTGATTAAATTATCATTCATTTTTACAAAGTGTGAAATCACATCAAAACATAACAACCAAACTAAAAATATAGTACACGCCCCTCATTAAAAATAGACTCTGGAGGCCATCCTGACTATAGCTCACCGATGGCTCCCAGTCCCCTTTCAAAGCCATCCAAGTGGGCAGCCATTGCCCTGTCTTGTGGCAGGGAGTTCCCCAGTGAGGCTCTGTCTGCCATGCCTTGCTTGCAGTGAGTCCACAGCCGTTGGAGGCTGATGACAGGGAATGCATGGGCAGGTTCTGAGGCTGATTTTTATCGCTATTTAAATTTTAATCCTGCCTTTGTTGGTCCACGGGAAGCCCTCCGGGCAGCTCAGGATGAAAACAAATACTACAAGAGAAGAGTCTTTTAAAATCTCCGGAGAGTCGCCTAAAGCAACGTGAAGCCAAACAGCCGTCAAAAAGTTCTTCCCGGTTCCCCTTTCTTTGCCAGTCTCTCTCTCTGTTTACTGATGCATCAACTGAAAAGAGTTGCCAAGCCAAGAGCTGGCCGGCAACCAGGCACCGCTTGAGCTTTCCCAAAGCTGTCACTGTGACTTTGTTTGCAAGCCCTGCCCCGGTACCTGCCAGCAGACAAACAAACACCCATGTATATTTTAAAAGCAGGAAACAGCCTTCGGCTCTTCTGTGCTTTGCGTCTCCCTCTCTTAATACGGAATAATGGTCCTGGACTCCCTTGCGTGCCTTTTGCCGGCAAAGTGGAGGAAAGAAAAGTTTTGCAGGACTGAGAAAATGCAGAACAGATGGAAAGGAGGGCACCTGGGGGCAAGGGAGGACATCTAGACAGATGGCAAGGAAGGCCCAGTTGGCCAAAGGAAGGACCTGTTCCTGCCGGTCTTGAAGTGTCTTGAAGCCTCCATCCTAAGGTGAAGTCGTAGGCTTCAAGACACTTCTCTGAAGATGCCAGCCACAGATGCTGGCGAAACGTCAGAAAGAAACTCTTCTAGAACATGGCCACACAACCCGGAAAACACACAAAAAACCTCCATCCTAATGCTTTTACAGGACAATAAGAGCTCTTGAACAGTGGAAGATGCTGCTGCCTTCCAGGATGGTGGAGTCTCCGTCTTTGGAGGTTTTGAAACAGAGGATGGATGGCCATCATGACAGGGAAGGCTTGGATGCACTTTCACCTGTGAAATCCCCTCCTTAGGTTACATGGGAAACATGAATTATAGGGTTCAGAACAGCTAGGGGATACTAGTTCATAGAATCATAGAATCCTACAGCTGGAAGATGCCTTCTGTCATGGAGGACACCATCCAGGTCTTCCCTGCGGCTGATGGCCACCCAGCCTCTGTTTAAAAACTTTCAAAGAAGGAGCCACCGCCACCTTCTGAGGGAGCTTCTTCCACCATCAAACAGCTCTTAACCTCAGAAAGTTCTGTCTAATTTTTAGGTGGAATCTCTTTTCCTTTAGTTTGCATCCATTGCTCCATGTCCTAGTCATGCAGCAGCAGAACATACTCTACATGCCATCCCTTCAAATATGCAAACATGGCTATCATGTCCCCCGTTAACCTTCTC